GGCTTTTACACTGCTTGTGTCCTCAAACTCTAAGAAATTTTCACTCAGCGGATGTGCTTTTGGTATGCCTTGCAATATTTTATTGCAATTCGATGTCCATTTTCTAAGTGGAAAACCAGCTGATTTTAAAACTGCGGAAATCTCATCCCTGGCTTTTATCGCGGAGTCAATAGTATGTCCTCCGGCAAGAACGTCGTCGACATACATACTTTTTCGTAAAATGTTCGAGGCTATAGGATAGAGGCTTTCTGAGTCATCAGCTAGCTGGAGCAATGTCCTTATCGCGAGATAAGGAGCACAATTTATACCNCCGAGGCTATAGGATGGAGGCTTTCTGAGTCATCAGCTAGCGGGAGCAATGTCCTTATCGCGAGATAAGGAGCACACTTTATACTGAAAGTAACCGTCTTTAGTTCGTAAATACTAATTGGTTCGTTTGGACACGTACGGAAAATTATTCGTTGGTACTTCGTTTGGTTGGCGTCTACAAGAATTTGCCTATACATCTTCTCAATATCGCTATTGAAGACGTATCTAAAAAGTCTCCAGCGGAGAATCAACACTGGTAAATCAGACTGAAGCACTGGCCCTGGAAGAAGAATATCGTTCAGGCTGACACCATTGGCTGAAGACGACGAAGCATTGAAAACCACCCGAACCTTTGTCGTAGTACTCTCTTCTTTTACCANTAGTACTATCTTCTTTTACCACAGCGTGATGTGGTAAATAGTAACTGTCGACTGCATCTGCTGACTGAATTGCATTAACTTTAGACATATGGCCCATTGTCTCGTATTCCATTATGACTTTGTTATATTCCCTCTGTAAGTCTGGATTTTTTCTAAGTCGAGTTTCGTTCTTGTAAAATTGAGAAAACGCGATTTTGAGTGATGGCCCTAAGTTTATATCAGCCGGGAACTCCGCCTTGAAAGGAAGCGACACGATGTACCTCCCATCTGGATTCCGCTGTGTTGTACGCTTGTAAAGCTCCTCGCACTTTGCTTCCTCAGCTGTTGCAGTTTTATCTCGTGGAAGATCCTCAAGTTCCCAAAAAGAGCTTAGCTGTTTGTCTAGGGCCACTTCATTGAAGAACGATACTCTATTATTGTTGGTTGGGTTGACTGCATCAGCACGACCAGTCAGTATCCAACCGAACACTGTTTCTTGTGCCAGAAGAGTACTAAGAACATTCTTCTTAATGCCACTCAAAATTATATGGGGATATATGTCCCCTCCCAAGACAAGATCGACTTGCTCATTTACATAAAACCTTTTATCTGCCAGGATGAGATCAGGAAAAGCTTGTTGTGTTAGTGCGCTAATGTCGCAAGTTGGCAAATTCCCGGTAAGAGTTGGTAGCACTAACACAATAGCATCAATTGAAATGAATGGGTCAATCGGTGACCGCAACTGTATAGAACACGCTTCTTTTACCTGTGCAGAAACCGTATTATTGATGCCCGAAACTTGAGCATGCATTTTCTTTGTGGGCAAGTTGATTCTGCGTCTGAGCCTCTCCGTAATGAAGGAACACTCAGAGCCAGAATCAATTAGAGCTCTAGCAGCATAATTGGTGCCATTATAATGAATAGTAACCCGAGCAGTGCCGAGTAAAACACCTTTGCTAGTATTAGCGTGATGTGATTGCACCTTTTTTACTTGGTTACTTTTCCCCTTTGAAGCTTGATTCCTCAATTGTGCCTGTCTGGAAGTCGATGGTAAATTGTCCGCAGGATTAGAAGTATTTTCCCTGGTAGCTGTTTTAGGCGGTGCTGTCTGATTGTGTAGGAGCGTATGGTGTCGAGAATGGCAATTGGCGCAGTTGTAAGAACTCGTGCATTTCGACACCGAATGTCCGAAAGACAGACAGTTAAAACAGCTATTGTTTGTTTTTACAAAAGAGATTCTATCAGCTACAGACATCTTCAGAAATTTTGGGCACATATGAATTCTATGCTCGTTGCTTTGGCACATTTTGCACATGTATTTGGCGACACTAGTTTGAAAAACGCCAAGTTTCTTGTGAGAGGGTTCAGAGGAATGCTTATGACTTGGCACTTTTGAAAACTTCGAAGTCTTGATTCCTCTTAAACCTGAAACCGATTCTAACGTTTGAAACCTGCTTGAAAGGAATCGGTCCATATCTGACCACTTGGATATTTCTGTTTTATTTTCTACCGATTGTTCCCACAGCGAAAGGGTTTCCTCAGGTAGTTTAGTAGAACACAGATACGTAATAATAGGGTCCCAGTTTGAAATGTCAATCTGGTGACTCTCTAGGGATGATATACAATTATTAATATCCCTTTGTAATCTCTTTATTGAGCTTCCACATTCGCTATCAACTGTATTCAAGTTGAAGAGAATCTTCAACTGAGTGTTAACTAGGATCCTCTTATTTTCGTATCTATCGCAAAGATTCTTCCAGGCTGTGTTAAAGCCTTCATTCGTTAAGTCGCATTTCTTGACAATTTCTTTGGCTTCACCCTGCGTTTTTTGATTCAGATAATAAAGCTTCTGTATGGGTGTAAGCCGTTTGTTCAAGATATAAATTGCCGTGAACATGTCACGAAAAGTTGGCCACGACAGATAGTCACCTTTAAAAACGTCAATATCGCAAGGTGGAAGATGCAAACTATGCGAAGCGAGTGACATCTCTTCACTTTCCTTTTCTGATTTTTCCAACTTTTCGGAATATTCGTTAATTTTTGTCATACACCGGACAAAAGCTGCATAGCAGATCTTATTTTTCTTTCTTATAGCGCTAACATCTTTAGCACTAGTTGATTCGGTAGTCAGAACTTCGTCAAAGAGTGCTTTGGCTTTCTCCCACAGTACACTAAGCTCGCTTTGCTGAATTTTCAGCGAATGTTTGGTGTGCTCACCTGTGGGAGTGCTCAGAAATTCTGTATCAAATTCAATGACCGAATCTGCTAACCGGGTGTATGTTTCCATTTTATTTAATTTTTTCACTTATTTGCGAAATAACAACTTCACAAGAAATTTTTGGAAGTATCACTATGAGAGACTGACTCAAAAGAAGCCGATTTTCCAACCGTAAAGGTAGCACACGAAGAAAATCCTATGTCAAGGTAACCCAAAACTATATACCCAATGTATATAAGCAGAATGCACCACCAAAATACCACCAATTCAACCACAAAGTAATAAAAATTCTCTAATTTTCCTTTAAATTGTATCTGTAAACTTTCTATGTTTATTAACACCGATTTAGCAATATAAATGCGTTTTAAGTATACGTATGTATGTATGTTTGTTTGTTCGCAAGAAATTGCTCGCCAACCAAACCAGTGAGATCTGTATATGTATGTATGTGTATATACCCTGCAAAAAGTGGGACTAGGTTAAATACTAGTACGGGACCACGCTACCTTGTAACCAACACTAGTAACCAAAATGGTCCAAATATATGGAGAAAATATGGTAACATTAACATTGCGATGTCATTGGACCTGACCACCTCTGGTCCAACGCTGCATAACATGGGACCAGTTCTGGTCCACCACTGCATAACATGGGACCACCTAGGCACCTACTCCTTTTGGACTATGGCACACTCGGCAACCGAATCGTATTGCCGATCGGCCGCGAAGAGGTGGTGTTCAACACATTTATCAGTTTTTTACGTTTGAAGTGGTCCAGGTCAGCATAATAAGTTACTGGTATGCAACTTGGTCCTTTTGCACATACTTTAAAAGCACGGCCCAATGGACCACCTGGTCCTCAAATTTTTGCAGGGTATTCTTATGTACAAGCGCTTTATACGACAAGTGCAAATAAATAATGAATATGGAAAAACACACCACTTAACTAATTAGAAATAGTGCCAAAATTTGTATTGGTTTTTAATAAATTAAATGCAAACGCGAGTGATTTTGTGAAAAGGAAATATTGCAAGTACCAAAGTTCGGTGCAGTGAAAAGTTTGGTTATGTAAACCGAATACAAGTGCAGTGTTGTTGTTGGTAAATTTCGGTACTAAAATGCAAGTCACCAAGGAAAATATGATTAACAAAAATTAAACTATTTGAATTAATCACCGTAAAGAAACTTCTTGCAAATTGTTTCGCGATAATTCCAAAGGAAAACAAAACACTGCCTTTTTTTTATGCCCGATCACACTTGTTTAATATTTAAATGGCTTTAGCGCCCACAAATGTATGTACATATATATGTGCGTGTGTGTGTGTCACTTAGCACTTCGGCTGCGCTTAAAACTTCAATATTTCACAAAATCACTCGCGATTTCTTAATTATTAACCAAAGAAATGCTACACAAGATAATCTAAGTGCAGTGAAATTTGACCCACGTACCTTTAATTTAAAAAATTGATGACTTTATTTATTTAACAGGTGTCGGTGTTCGTGTGTGTGTTTTTGCTGTTGATGCTGGTAGCTCCTGTGGTTGCTTTGTGCAAAAATTTTGTAGCTGCTGCTGCAATGTACGGCTGCTTCAGATAGGCTCAAATTGGATAGGCTCAAATTGGAAATCCTCGGATTGGCTCAAAAAGCTGGGCGCTGGCAAGTGGAAGTTCAAATGTTACGGCGTTGAAGGACCAGTATGTTAAACCGGCACAACGCTTGGACAAAGTTGTGGCCGATTTAATTTATTGGAATGAAAAACAAAGCAAAACGTTTGTATTAATATTTAATATAAATTGTTGTTTATTCAAAAATAGATAAATTGGTATTAATATATATGCATATATGTTGGTTGTACAGGTTACCTTTTATTGATACGGGAACACGGTGGCTGGAACACGTCCTCTTGACTTCACTCTCGGAAAACAAGTAAGTGACCGGTTTAAATTTCTTCTTACTGTTGCCTGTCGAACTGTATATTTACCGAAGGGACATTTTAGCATAAGTAACATAGTGGTAAACAGTTCGACAGTTGACATAATAATGAAGTTATGTTAAGCATTAGGGTGGGTCGAAAATGCTGCGACAAATTTAGGCCATTGGCCTAAACAAATATTGTAAAAAAACTAGTTTATTTTTACTGAGTAACTTTTCTGACGGAAAAAAAATTTGACAGAGAAATTTCGACAGTGTGTGCAAAACTTTTTTTTCACTCTTTCTGCCAATTTTTTTTTTTAATTTATTTCATACTTTAGCAAAAAACAAAAATTTAATTTCATAACTTTGTACAAAACTCAAGAAAATTCAATAAATTTTCATTCAAATACTAAACTTTTAATTCTTATTTTTTAGGTATAGTAAGTAAAAAAAGTGAAATTTTGAAGGTTTTCTGACGATGTATGCATGCATACACTTGAGCTGAGCTGATTAAGTTAAGGGATATTTTGACCAGTTTGCGCTATTTTACAACGCTTTTATCAACTTGCAATGTTGTGTGTCCAGACACCCTTCATTGCTATAAAACCTTTGCTTTCCAAAGATCCTGTAAAAAAGTCTAGTGCAACAGACGGTTGAGAGGTAGATGTCGCCCTATGCACTGCGTACGCTACAGCGGAAATGGATGACACGCCATTTCTTTAAATGAAATTAATTGGTGATCGTATGTATGTACATTAGACTGCATCACCAAAAAAAGTTGCGGTTTTTCCGCCAGGATTACAAAATCTATAATATTTTAAGACGTCAGCCAAAATATTTCGGAAAAATATTAAGATTTAAGTGAGCTGGACCGTTTTGAAAATACCTCCAAAAATGGAGTTTTTTATGAATAAAAATAGTTTCTTAAAGAACTTTTTGAAAAAAGTCCTCTCAGAAGAAAAAACAGATTAAGCTTAAAAAATCTGCATACAAATATTTAAAAATTTTTTCAATGGAATAGTAAGAATGAGATTTTTGATGCTGTTTTTTTACTTTTTTCAAAGATTGATTTACACAAAACTTGAATAACTTGGCCAAAACTATTCTTATTTAGACTTATGGGATCTCGGTAGAAAGGTATTTTCACACTGTTTATATTTCTGTCCAAATAAAAGTCATTCTTGTCCCATTTTTTTTTCACATACCAACACAATCAACTTTGAATTACGTTCGTCCATCCTACCTTTCTCTTTCATCCTTTTAATGAGTTTGTTATCAAAGAAATGAAAAGGGTTAGAAAATACCTTTCCAATGACACCTCTTAAGTCTAAATCGGAAGACTTTAGGTTCAGTTATTCAATTTTTTCTTATACCAATCTTTGACATTCTAAAAACAGAATTATTAGCAAAAACCAACAATACCAACAACCACATGATCAAGTGAATTGCAGCGGAATAACTGCGCTTGATTGTGTTGGCATAACAAAAATGAAAATAGTGGAAAAAAGCAAACGATAATTTACAAGGCGTCCTTAGCACGGTGCATAGGTAACTGGCTGAGTCAGTGGGATCGTCGGTTCGAATCCTACTGAAAGAAGTCTGATGAGGAAATGTGGTGATATCCGAAATAGCTAACACTTCTACCATTTTTTCAAATTATTGTTGCTTTTCTGCAATAAATTTTCGTTTAAAAACGGCCTCGAGCTCAATATAAATTGTTGAATATAATTGTTATAAAAGGCCAAAAAAATAACAAAAAAAAATAACTTAAGAACGAGCACACCTAAAAGTTAAACATTCTAAAAATAGAATTATTAGCAAAAACCACCAATACCAACAACCACATGATCAAGTGAGTTGCAGCGGAATAGCTGCGCTTGATTGTGTTGGCATAACAAAAATGAAAATAGTGGAAAAAAGCAAACGATAATTTACAAGGCGTACTTAGCACGGTGCATAGGCAACTGGCTGAGTCAGTGGGATCGTCGGTTCGAATCCTACTGAAAGAAGTCTGATGAGGAAATGTGGTGATTTCCGAAATAGCTATCACTTCTACCATTTTTTCAAATTATTGTTGCTTTTCCACAATAAATTTTCGTTTAAAAACCGCCTCGAGGTTAATATAAATTGTTGAATATAATTGATATAAAAGGCCAAAAAAATAACAAAAACAATCTTTGAAAAAAGTTAAAAAAACAGCATCAAAAATCTCATCATTACGATTCCGTTTAATTTTTTTTTAATTTTTTTTTAAATGTTTTCATGCAAATTTTTTAAGCTTAAAACGTTTTGTCATTTGAGGAGATTTTTTCAAAAAAAAAAATCTTTAAGAAACTATTTTTATTCATGAAAAACTCCATTTTTGGAGATATTTTCAAATCGGTCCAGCTCACTTAAATCTTAATATTTTTCGGAAATATTTTGGTGGACATCTTAAAATATAATAGATTTTATAATTCTAATGGAAAAATAGTATCGATTTTTCTTTGTATGGGGAGCGATGCAGTCTAATTTACATACATATGTATATGCATGTGTGTGCACCAATCTTGCAAAATTTTATACAGACATGACTAGAGTAGAAAATAAATAATAAAAAAAACGTTTTAATGGACTTAAAAGAAGAAAATAATATTTCTCAGTCCCACAGAATTGGTTTTGATAACTTTTGATTTTGAAATTTTAGCAAAAGTCATTATAAACAATCTATGAAATTGAAAATGAAAAGCGTGGAGCGCATGCAATACAAAGCATTCGATTTAATTGACAATAGTCAAACTACATAACGTAGACCTAAANATAGATTTTAAGCCGTCATTATTTATATATCGACATAAGTACATACATATCAATTCAGGTCTATTAAATGCGCCACACGCTTTTCATTTTCAATCCCATAAAAGGTTTATAATAAGTTTTGCTAAAATTACAAAATCAAAAGTTATCAAAACAAATTCTATGGGACTGAGAAATATTAGTTTCTACTTTTTAGCTCATTTATCAAAGCGTTGTATATTAAAAAGTTTTTTTTTATTATTTATTATACTTTTGTTTACTTAATGTTCATAATTTTTTTTTATAAAAGACTAGCATATTACTTAACCAGGACCACATAAATCCACAATTTAAACTTCTTACAAAAATTCAACAATCTTTAAGAATTGCACCTAAAGTTTTAAAACTTTTTATTAAAAATTTGTAGAAAAAGTTTAGGTATGCAGTTTTATAGCCCATTCAATTTTAGCAATTTAAAGTGCGAATTTCAAGACGCTAGAAAATTTTGTTCATTTTTAATATCTTTTTGCTGGAAGAAAATGCCTAGCATCGTCATCAAAAAAAAATTTCCACTTTAACTTTCTAAAATTTAATGGGCTCGAAAACTGCATACCTAAACTTTTTTCTAAAAATTTTTAATAAAAAGTTTTAAATTTTTGGGTGCAATTGTTAAAGTTTGTTAAATTTTTGGTAAGAAGTTTAAAATGTGGACTTATGTGGTGCTGGTTATGTAATATGCGAGGCTTTTATAAAAAAAATTATGAACATTAAATAAACAAAAGAAAAATAGCGCAAACTGGTCAAAATATCACTTAACTTAATCAGCTCGCCTCAAGTGTATGCATGGCTGTACTATATGCATTAGGTTGTCCATTATTTTTTAAGGGGTTGGTATCGAAATTCTGGTAGTACAAAATTCGGAACACGAAATTCTGCTTCTCAAAATTCAGCCTTTTGAAAACTCTGCTTTTTGAAAATTCTGCTTTTGACAATTCTGCTTTTCAAAATACTGAATTACAGAATTCTGTTTTAAAATATAATGTAAACAATGTTAAATTGGACATTTCATTACTTTAAAAAGTGCGCACTTTTTAAAGTAATGGCATGTCCAATTTAACATTGTTTACTTTATATTTTAATACAGAATTTTGATTTTCAGTATTTTTAATTAGTTTGACAAAACTTTTATTACTGGAAAAAATCATAACGCGAAATATTCTCCCGAGTTTTGGTCAGTGCATGACAGCATGCATCGGAAACAGAACCCTTTTCTAGAACGTAAAACCGTGGCGAAGGGTGGCATCGCCGCAAAAAGTAGTTGTTTGTAGGAAGCAATTCCCAGTTTCTATATTCTTGTATTGAATTTACAAGAACTTATTTTTGCAAAATTTCAAATTTCCAGAAAGGATAACAAGAAATTAAAAAGAAGCAGCTTATAAAAACTATTAAAAACTAAATTACTTATGTAAGTCGGAAGATGGAATTTTGACGGATCAAACCAAAACGACGAAAAACGACTCCATACTACTTGACTGGTATTCGAAACCCACATCCTCCGGTCGCATAATTAATTTCATGTCTTCGCAACCCTTAAAATATAAAGTTAACACCGCAAAAAACCTAATCCATAAAATACTAACAATAAGCCACACACAATTTAGAGACACAAACATTAACAGAATAAACAGAATTCTCACTAACAACAACTATCCGCACCACCTAATACAAAGTTTACTCAAACAAAAAATTAGGGAAATGGACAACCAGCACAACAAAACAACCAAGGCGAAAACAACAAGTGAGACAAAGCGATATCACAGTGTCACATACGTACCTAAGTTCCACCAACAACTTGAAGGCGAAATAAACAGCAATCAGAACATTACATTAGCATACAAATCTAACAACACCTTGTCTTCAATATTTACAAACACAAAATCTCCAATAGACTCCCACCAACAAAGCAATGTGGTATACGAAATCACATGCAAAGGGAGCGAAAACGAAG